CAAATTAAACTGGGTAGGCCTGTTAGACTCCATCACATTACAAAAACACATATTGTGAGACATACTGTATATGAAAATGACAAAAACCAAGTAATTATTGTATAGTTAGATGAGATTAAGACCGTATGAACACATATAAGGCCGTGCTCAAACATACACAAGCATTTTTTTTTTGTAAATTGAGTTTTCCCCACCTTCATTATACATACATACATATATATTATATATATATACATGCATATTATATATATATATATATATATATATATATATATATATATATATATATATATATATATATATATATATATATATATATATATATATATATATATATATATATATATATATATATATATATATATATATATATATATATATATATATATATATATATATATATATATATATATATATATATATATATATATATATATATATATATATATATATATATATATATATATATATATATATATATATATATATATATATATATATATATATATATATATATATATATATATATATATATATATATATATATATATATATATATATATATATATATATATATATATATATATATATATATATATATATATATATATATATATATATATATATATATATATATATATATATATATATATATATATATATATATATATATATATATATATATATATATATATATATATATATATATATATATATATATATATATATATATATATATATAGCTGAAGTCAAAATTATTTACCCTCCTGTAAACTTTTTTTTATTCATTCATTAATCTTTTTTTCGGCTTAGTCTCTTTATTTATCTGGGGTCGCCACAGCGAAATGAACCACCAACTTATCCAGCACATGTTTTACTCAGCGGAAGCCCTTCTAGCCACGACCCATCACTGGGAAACATCCACACACACTCATTCACACTCATACACTAAGGAGAGTTTAGATAGGTGTAAGTGGCTCTCAGTACATTGCCAACACCAAAAGATGCTATGTTACACACATTCCGTCTTAAATTAATCTGGAATCTTTAAACTGCATGCTATTTATCAGCAGTAACTGTCAAAGAGAAAACACTTGCACTACATCTTGACAACCTTCACCCTCTATGTCCATCATCGCCATGTTGGTTTTTCCTACACCAAAACGAATGATCCGCTCTTAGGGTTCTTTCACACCTGCCTTATTTAGTTCAGTTGAATCACACTAGAGTTGGTTTTCCCTCTTGGTGCGGTTGGTTTGGGCAGGTGAGAATGTAGCAATCGTATTTGAGAGCGCACCAAAAGCGGACCAAAAAAGTGTACCAAGACCTGTACCAAGATGTGGTACGGTATCAAACGAACCCTGAAGCGGAGTGTTTGTGCTGAGAATATGATCTGAACTAAAACAGACCCAACCGCAAAAAGTACTGCGCCTTTTGGCCTAATTCAGCTGCTGTAGGCTGATGCGCTGTGCATTATGGGATGTGGAGGAGAAATATTTGTCGGCAGCACTTTACCAACAGAGAGAGAGAGAAAAACATTACCTGATGGATCATTGCTAATATTTCCAGAAGATGACCATGTTGCAGTTTAGCTAAATTAATTCACGTCTCCTCCTGAAGTGACGTGCGATGCATTCAAACATTGTTTTCCAGCCGCAACCGTGCTTCATTCTCAATATGTAGAGTTTGTCTAAAGTGATGTATACAAACTGTATAGTCTACTATGAGCAGCGATACAATCAGCCAGCGCAGTCGTCCCTCCATTGTCCCTCCATAGCAGGTTTGTTTACTTGCAGGTGTTCATTGGCATTTTCGCGCACGTAAATTCTGACCAATCAAAAAGCAGTTTAGGAATTACGTTCAATAACATCTGGCCAATAAGTGATGAGGATTTTGTCAGATGACTGGTTCTTTTCATCTGGTTTAGACCAGAGCAATCAGTGTGGTGTGAAAATGACCCAAAGACGGAAGACGATGCTACAATGAATCTGAACTACAGATGTGAAAGCACCCTTAGAAACCTAATTAGAAACTGAAAATGAAACCTACTAAAAAGATCTACAAACATAAATCCAAGCTTCAGAAAAAAACAGCGAGAAATGGATTCCCTTTGATCGCAA